GACTATTGCGCAAATCGCGAGTTTCTTGAAGCATTGGATATTTAACACAATTTGATTTCGTATTTTCCAACACAAAGCTTTGAATTTTCGAATTTTTACACACGAATATAATGTAACAAGAGTTCCTATGTAAATTTATAACGTGATAATTCTTTCGCGTTATAAATTCCGCAAAAATGGACAGAGAAAGAAGAAAAAGTTAATTCCCAGTTTAATTAGCTTGTGCATATTGTACACATATATGTTAAAAGCGAAGCGAAATTCTCGCACTTTCGATTCTTTTTCACATTGCCCTCTTTATTCAAAGTAAATTGCACGATTCACGGAGATGAGAAAAATAAATAAAAAAGAAAGAAGAAAGGATAAAGTCAGCCGTATTGAAAGTAGAACGACAAGAAAAGTTTCCCTCTCGATTCTTTCAACTTCTTTCCCTTAGGTATCGAGTTGTTAATTAATAATCGTCGAGTTTCAGTGATTCAAAGTCGACGTGGCAACTCGAACAGCTTCGAACTAATTTCATTCTTGCGAAAGGATGTCTATCGACTTTTATTCCTTCGTCGTTTCCTTTCTTCTTTTTTCTTTTTTTTACAGCTAATCGATATTTTTCTGAATTGATATATTATATCATTTGTTGAAAATAAATATCATAGAAGAAGTAAGTTCGACAACTTGAAAGAAAAAAGTATCGTACAGCAAATTTTTTGTAAATGGAAGGCTTCAATCTTCGAGTCTGGATTGATTCACGAAAAAAATTTTCCACTGTCTTCCGATTTTTCAAATTTTTTAAAAAGAAATTATCTCCACTATTGAAAAATCAACATTGCCTCTTTTACGAGGTTATAACAATTTAAAATGTTGGATCATTGCGTTTCAAATGTATTTACTTAATTTTTTGGATTACTCTTTCCACTCTATAAAAAATTAATTCGAATTTAAGATTCGAGAGATGACAGTGATAATCATTATAACGCGCGTGAACACGAATAAATTAAGAAAGCTCGATTTTTCACGCCAATTTCCCACGGTTTGCGCTTTGGATATCCCAAATATTTACCAAAAATAAACCAATTTTTTTTAAACAAACAACGAGGAAGCTCTCTGGTCAACTTTGATTATCAACGTTCCAACTTCCGGTTCCTACAGTTCGAAGAATTAACGCGTCTCGACATTTCCGTTCACTTGATCCAGATGAACATTTACAACTTTGAATTTTGAGGCATCGCTTTTGCAAGGATGAAAATTGGAATTCTTGCCGATGGATTTGCCCGAGGAATTATGTATAAAGAAACTCTCAAAAAGATGAGATTGAACGTTGGCATGTTGCGTTGGTAATTTGAGAAGAAGAAATTCAATAACTGTGCGGGTCTACTTGTTCTTTGATCCGAGATTGTCAAAGAGAGATATTCTAAGATGTGGAATGTGGTTTGAAATTTTGAGGGAACGTTTCCTTGTAATTTTACTATTTTATTTTATTTTCTTTGATTTGGATTCGCAAGAGAATTATTTAATATTATTTTTATCTTCGACGCCAATTTTTTTATTAACTCTTCAATTAAATTGATAATTAATTTCTTAGAGATATCATCATATTTATTGACTAGAGAGATTCAATCTGCTCGAAATCCCATTGATAAACCGTTGAGTTTTTAAAAGAGATCAACTTTCTGAATGAGTTTTTTTAAAATTTAAAAAAATAGAAAAGATGATTTCTTAAAATAAAAAATATAATAAAATAAAATAATATAATAAAAACTTAGATTACTCACCACCAATTACATAAGGTTGAAACGTGCCGATCATCGATATTTCCTCACAGTTTCGAATCATCGAGAGAATTGGAATATCGATAGCAGGGACGAGAATTAGTTACAATAACCATCGAAGTATATAATTTCTGCAATACCTTGCAAATTCAATATCCACCTCTCTCTGGCTGGAGCTCAACCAGCCCGTCTCATCGAACCAATTAGAAGTCAGAAACTTCGACAAATGAAACTCTCGTTGAAGATAATTATCGATTTCCGGTTTAATTCCTAAAGAAGAAGCCTCTCTAGATAATTTTAATTTAATGCTCGAGTCTAGAGTCGAGCAAAGACGAAGAAAAAGAAGAAGAAAAGGTAAAAATCCTTCGAATTCTCACTTCGTGGCTTTGAAATTCGAGGAAAAGGAGGAAAAGAGTGTGGGTTGATGCAAAAATTACGGAAATTCGTGTACCGTTTGATCCAAGGCCGTTGAAATATTCAAGCGGATCCGAAAAGGACAAGGCTGGGCAAGTCCTCCTTTTTGCGGACGACTGGAACGAGGAGATATCAGAGGCAATTCGCTGTTTCGTTTTTGTGACAGTAGGAATATTTCATCCCTGTGTTTCTTATGGGTCAGACGTTGACCTTTGATGAATAATGATGTACTATCGCGATTTCATATCTTGGACGTTGGCTTTTGGTATTATAAGAATATCCATTGTTTTGATTCAATATATTTTGATATGGAAATTGTTATTCAGATTAGGTAAATTGAATATGAATTTTAAGGAAAAATCCTTCTGTGGATTCTGTGGATAGAAGTGTATAGTAATTCTAAGAAATCATGAAGTGGAAAATATAAGTAATTTTGGAAAGTGTTAAATATTTCAAATATTACAATTTTTGGATTATTCATTTTCAATTTTATTATCACATTTATATCATTGTACAAACTTGGGAATATAAATGAGAAAGAAAAGAAATTCATTGAGCGTGATAAAATTTCTTGAATAATTTATCTTTTAAAGTTGATTTTAAATTACATATTAAAAACATATCAAATTCATTAATATTAGCATAATATTCCGCTTCTTGAACATGAAAAGATCCAGCTTTTCTTCATGAAAAGACGCTTTAAATACACTTTCCATTTAACCATTAAGTCACAACATAGTCACAAAATAGATCTTTTTACGACGACCAAGATAATAGGAAAGAGATAAACCCCACGAAAGTTGTTGCCGCACCATCCTTTAATCATCATCTCAAATTTTTTTTCCTGAACACCTCTATTTCTAGATCCACTAACATCGAAATCCCCAGAAAACAAATTCAGAAAAAAAAAAGAAAAACAAAATTTAAAAAAACAAAAAATCAAAATCGTCTCCAAAATACAAACTCAAATCGAACAACTAAAACCACTTCCTAAAAAAAAAAAAAAACAAAAAATGAAACACAAGAAGTATATGACATAGTGGATATAAAAAAATCACGAGTGTAGATAAACCGAAAACTTTGTTGGATTCACCATGATTCTACTTCGACGATGAATCATTGCAAATGTAATGAAAACAAACAAAAAAAAAAAAAAAAAAAAAAAACAAAAGAATATTAACGACGACAGAGAAAGACCAGTGTGACACGAGACTGACATAAATCTCGTTGTCGAATAATACCTAGTTATGGGTATTATTTATTCTGACATCTCTGCAAAGTAAACAGTTATTTAGGAACGTAACAACCGACAGAAAGCGGTTGAATGGCAATCCTCAAAAGCCAACCCCTCCTCACCCCCTTCTACGGACAACAATTGCAAATGTTGCACGCGAATATCGTGTCTAACCATAATTACATATTTCCTCGTGCCTGACTACGAGCAAAACCACCTCGAATCCCCTTGAAACTGCTCCTATGTTTCCTTCTTGTCCTTAAGTCGCTCGGAGGAACGCTTTATAGCTGATCAAAGAGAGTGGCAGGTCGATTCTATCCGAATCAAATCTCGATTCGAGGAATTGAATATTATTGGAATAGACGGATTTTCAAAGTCTGAGGCATTAAGGTATGGCTTAATTCGAAGATGTTTGGAGATGTTTGAAATAGAAAGTTACTATAATCAATATTATATTTTGATTCGATAATAGATCTTGATTCGATTAGAACTTGGATTAAGAGCGATGAGATAATTTGAAAATGTTTGAAGTGGAAAGATTTTAAAATAAATTATCGGAATAGATGTTTGGTAAATTTTGAAATTTATGATTACATTCAGATATATCTGGATAAAAATTTTATAATTTGAAGATGTTTGAACAGTTTTAGTGTAATAAACGCACGTTATTTCCAATGTTATGACTTCCATGAAAGTTTTAAAAATAACGAAAAAGAAATATTGCACAACGTAGAATCCGATTGAAATCAGAGATTAACAATTCTTTCAATCTATTGTCGGCCAACCGTTCCCCCATATTCACACAGAATCGTGCGCGATTAGTCGCGCGTGGAACGAGCGCGACACGGTGAGCGATTTCTACGCGCGTGCGACAGCGCGACGATAATTTTGCAATCGGCTTATGCGCCTCTATTATGCGAGTTTCATTGTTAATTGTCCAAGGGGTCATTCTACCGTCCGACCAAGTTAATGCCCCATATTTTGTGCCGGTTGTGCGCGAAAGAGACCGACGACAGGATGGAAACACGCATTGTGCGCGCGTATCCAATCGAATCACGAAGGATCGTGACGAGTGTGGACCTGTGATCGTGTTCATTAAATCATCGGGGATTTTCTGATCTTGAAATGATCGTGAAATATTTATCATCGGATACGTAATAACATCTTGAAAATATGTAAATTACGTGGACCAAATTTGAATATTAATTAACTCCTGTTCAATTTGGTGATATACAGAGGTGATTATGATACCCGTATAAATTCGTTTAATCCGTAAACATCACGGATAATGATGTTTTATTTATTTATTCAGCAATCGGTAATGAAATCGGGTAATAATATATATATATATATATAAATGAATTGCTTATTATAGATTATCAATCACATAAATGTTAACGACTCTTTGGATGAAAGAAATTAATTGTCAAACGAACGAATTTCATACGTGCTCCAAATATTAACTTTCTAAATCGAAGAATCGAAGTCTTTTTTGTTTACTGAAGTAATATTTCACTATAAGAGAATTAAGATATTAAAAATCGTAGAAAATAATTATATACATTCAATAAATGAGAAATAGTAAATAATAATTTTTCGAGTTCCCATAAATTCGATCTCTAAAAAAGTCCTCAAGGATGCAAATGTTAGGTGCCTGATTACAAACAACTCGCGCCAAATTTAAACGATCACAATTAATTTATGTAATTTTTTTCTTTCCACGTGGAACAAAAATAAATTCTTCCTGCCTTATCTTCTCTTTATCTCCTCCTAATTGTCATTACGTAACTTCTTATCACATCGATTTCCGCTCGACATTATTATCTCGAACAAAGAAAAGCGAGCCATTTCCAATAGTTTCCCGACAATCGAGTACAAAGTTCGGGTTCCGAAATTGCAACTCTGATTAACTTTAACACGTGTAAGGTGTCCAAAAGTGTTTCCATACGTATATACGATCGGATACGAAAATTTGCTGGACGTGGAGACTGGTTCATCGAGATTTGCCATTGAGTACCATTGGCTAATCCACTTGACAATTTGGTAATTGTGGATAATCAACTTACGAAGTTGGAAGTATAATAGATAATCGACTTACCTCGAACTAACGAGTCGGATCGAGATAAAAGGAATCGAGTTCGGGGAACTAATTCTCGTTCTGAATCGCGTTCGATCCGTGAAATAATTAGATGGTGATTCAATTAGATGGGGAATTATGACGTTGTTGAATAAGTTTCAAACGATGCCCCCTTCGACACTCGGAGTTGTATGATACGATGATTTTTGGAATAAAACGCGTTTCGAAAATTTGATTAGAATGTTGGATTTGTCGAAAACAAGAATAATTTAATTTTTTTTTTTATGTAACTCGTTTATGAGATCCATACAATTGCATCGAAATAATTAAGAACAGAAGTTCTATATTATTATAATGAGATTTAATATCGATAGTGATGTAATTTCTTTCATAATATGGTTTTAACAAGAATCATTAAATTCTTCATTAAACTTTAACCGTATTTATGGTAAAGAGTTTATACCACGAGTACACATATATACAGTTCATATATTCATTTTTGAAATAATGAAGAATGTATTGATTTATTTTCGCGAACACGCTGTACGAATTCGAAGCCCTCATAATTGAAGTATAATTAATATTCAAAAATATTAATGTTGAGATGTGTTCCATTAAAGGTGAAAAGTCATTAAAATTTATGATTAAAACTCACTCTATGAAATAAAATAATAATCTCGATAATGCTTAATAAATTTTAATTATCATTAAAAATTAAGACGTTAATAATTTCGCATTTAAATTATATCATAATTCCACTCAAGGAAATTTGAACACAAAAAAAAAAAGAAATCGTAAAAATATCTTATTATATATAATAAAAATTCGTAATTAAAATAATAAAATATGAACAACCTCTTGATATTAAACGATTTCAAATGCCTAATAATTCTTAATTTAATCTTTGAACATTTTTTTTTTTTAATCAAAATAACGAAACAAAATAATCCTTTCATCCCGCTTTCGAAAATCGTTCGAAAATTGAACAAGATTAAAACAACAAGATAAAATATTTATCTTCTTTTTCTTTAATAATCCTATAATTGAATTCAAAGGAAAAATGACTTCAATCCCTCTCCTTTATCTTCCCTTAAAAATTCACAAAAAAGATAACGAAGCTAGAGCCAGTTTCTACAATGAATTTACCACCCTAAGGAATTTACGTTTCCATCTTATCAGATCCTCCAGAGAACCGCATTAGGAGGAGGAGGGTTACTAATTAAAAACACCGGCGTTCATCGATTTGCCGAAGTATCTGGTTCAACACTGGATCCCCAAGCAACCGAATAATTATCATAAAAGTTCCATTTATCCTGCGAAACGCTCCCGTTTCCTCGAACAAGTCAAGAGAACTCCTTTGATCTTCTGGAGAATTTCGCAAGAAGACGCTTCGAGGTAGAGAAGAAACAGCATTTCGAGTTTACGGATAAGTGAAATTGCAGGACTGTTTCCGGTACGTTGGCCGCGTTTTAATCGCGCTGACTTCAATGAGAATCGTAATGGCGGCTCCTCGAGAAGTTTCTCGTACGCCAACGCTTCCGGTTATTAAAACTAGAAAGGATTTCGTGCAATTATTGTTGAAATTTCGAAGAGTTTATTATCGTGACGAGAAAGCGAATAGGAATGATATAATTAAAATAATTTCAAAAGATCGAAGGATACAGGAATCGTGATGACCGATGTAATTTGGAAGAATAGTTTTTTGAGAATGGGATGATTAGCGATTGAATTAATCAATAATGTGATTATATAAATTGACAAATACGAAAGTGAGAAATTCAACAGAGAATCGCGGAATTAACACGAACATCCTTTGATAAATTTGCACTACGCACAATTAGTTTCCTCTGAACGATGAAAAATCTCTACGCACATATCTCTAACAATTCTACGAATAATCCACAAAACTCGTGAACCAATAAAATTACCAAAAAAAAAAAACTGTTACTCAAACATTTTCAAACCTTATAATCCAATCCCTTGAATTGTTCGATTGAACTCGTTCGCCGGATAATTTCAAAACGATCGAAAAAATTTTAACAACGCGTGCGCCACCTTTCGACTCGTTCAAATTAATAATCCGCGCGAAATTGAATTTTCGACAACCGGCGGGATTATCTTTGCGGTAATCCAAACAGAGTAGAAATCCTGAAGGTTGGCGAAACCGCCCTCGGGATAACAGCGGCAGCCATTCGTCTTATTGCCCTATCCCAGCCCCGCCCCTTCCCTCTTTATTCCAACATGTTTACGTATGAAAATGATGCGCCCCAGGTAGACGCACTACGCTCTCCACCACCGTGTTCCTCCGGTTTACTCGTGTTTCCGGTCCGGGGAATTTCCATCTCTCTCCCTCCCTCTTTTTCGATCTCTCTATCTCCTTCGCCTCGTTCCCCTCTGTATCCTCTATTTTTGGCCGCGACAACGGTATTCCACGCGCGCATACGTTCGTTACCACGGTATTATTACATCCGGAAATCATTCGGACCGTGAGCCTTTGCGAAATAACAGGGAGAGCAAATTGCTTCCCGCTAATCAGATTTCATGGGACTCGCGTAATTAAGCCCTCGTTCCTCGTGGCCCAGTTTCTCCCCCGGTCAACCCGTTTCGATGTTGCGTTTATTTTTAGGGGGGAGGGGGGGGAGGAGGTTGGAGAATGGATTGACAACGATTAGGGGTTTGATAACGATCCTTGAGCGAGGGAAGAAAATGGAGGGAGGGGAGGAGAGTGGACGGTGGAGGAGAGATGGGCGAGATTGAAATTTCGGGGTAGGTTCGTTTGTTCGAGGGATGAGTAATGCGGACAGCGGAAGTTTTCGTTAATTCAGCTCGGTACAGGGTTTAATGGAATTGCGCTGGCTCGATTGTCACACGTTACGAGGGAGCCTGGTTATTATGATTGTTCTTATGTTTCGCGACACGACAATGTTATTTCGTGTTGATCTAGGTGGGCGAGGAAATGAATATTTCGTTACTCTCATCGTTGCCGGTTTATGCTCGAATCTGGTGAAAGGTGAATGGCGAAATTCGTCGATATTTTTATAGTACGCTGTTATTTATCATATAAAGATCGTGAAAATGAATATTTGAAAGGTTTGATATCATTTGAAATTTGTGATATTGGGAATATTATCAAATTCTGGATTTTTATACAATTTTTGTATACGCATGGAAATATTAATTAAATGATTAATTATAATGATTGTATATCTAGGTTCATGTTGGGACCTAAAAAAATCAAAAAAGAATTTTTACGTAAGAAATATTCAAAAAAATATATATAACGACAAGGCAGATCTATCTTCGAGATTAGTAGAAAATTATACTAATATCCTAAACGGAAGCATTTCACACCGAAACAAGATCGAATCTCGAGCGGAAGGAACGATTCGTAGCGAGGCACGTATCGTTCGCCCCCTGAAAAAAGGAGGAAAAGAGCGGATTTGGCGAAACTTCTTTCGTCGGATTAGAGTTTGACGACTCGAGGATTACCAGACCGACTACGTGTACCCTACACTGATTGCTTTTGGCCGCTTTCTTCCCTTTTTCTTGGTTGCAAACACCTGGACCTGAGGTGAGATTTATCGAGGTAACGAGATTAGACGGTGGGATATCAATGAAGCTGGTGGTTATTTGAAGTTTTCGTGATACCGTTGAGAATATAGTCAGGTATATACCCGTTCTCATTGTCGATGTGTGTTCCAACGTGGAAGAAAATTGGGAATAGAAATTTCGAAATTTCATTACCGAGGATGAGTTTTCATCATCGAAACGAAATTGAATTATTTGTTATTAATATTTCGTACATCGTGACGTTTGTGAGAAATTTTATTAAAAATCGTTTTAAAAGCCCTTTCCAATTTCTACCAACCGTGGCCTCTCCCTCTTCGATCATCCTACGTTATTATTCTAATGCGTCAAAATCACTCTTCCAAACCTGTCCTACGCACTTCTTATTTCATTCCACTTTTGCCCAATTTGTTACGAATTGCTCGCTCAAATTCCAATTTTTCCTTCTACATCATCTCATATAATTTTCCATAATTTCCAATAAAAGTTACTACAACTAGCTATATATTAAAGATTGCAATACGAAGAAAATTTTCTTCTCTCCCTCTCTCTAAACCCATCCGCCTTTACAAGAGCACAGAATGAAACGCAATATATAATAAACAAGAAAATCATCTTGTGCCCGCAAGATGTATAAAATTAAATTTAAGATTAGACCCCACAACGTATATCCTTAAGGGAGGAAAAATTCAAAACCCTCTCGAAAATTTCAACAACATCTCTTCCAACCCCCTGGTTAACGTAACGCATTAACATCTCGAGAAAATCCAACGCGCGCATCTCTTGTCCTCCCCCCCCTCTCCCCCGTCCTCGTTCTGTGTAATTAAGACCAGACCCAACCCACCCTCCCCCTCCAAGCACCCATTCAAATTCGCCCGGCAATTTTTCACCGGTCGTAAACCATGACTCTTCGCGCCCCACCCTCCCCTCCACGCCTTTCCCCAAACTAGATTACG